GATAGACTTGAGATCGGATTATCATCAGCTGAGGGTAAGGGAGGAGGATATTCCGAATACAGCATTCCGTACGTGGTATGGCCATTATGAGTTGCTTGTGATGCCTTTTGGGCTAACTAATGCTCTAGCTGTGTTTATGGATTTAATGAATCGAATCTTCTGTGAATTCTTAGATCGTTTTATAGTTGTCTTTGTGGATGACATTTTGATTTATTCACCTTCTGAGGAGGAACACGAGGAACATTTACGAATAGTACTTGAGTTACTTAGAGCCCATAAGCTGTATGCTAAGTTTGGGAAATGTGACTTTTGGCTGGAAGAGGTTAAATTCCTAGGGCATGTAGTGTCAAGGGAAGGGGTGACTATAGATTCATCCAAGATAGAGGCAGTGCAAGATTAGGCACAACCTAAGAATGCTTTCAAGATTCGTAGCTTCTTGGGGTTGGCTGGTTATTACCGTCGGTTTGTGAAGGATTTCTCTAGACTAGCTTCACCTTTGACTAAGTTGACTAGAAAGGAAATCAAGTTTGTGTGGAGTGAGACTTGCGAAAGGTCGTTCCACGAGCTCAAGACTAGACTCACCACTACTTTAGTATTGATTATACCGGAGAGGGGTTTGAGTTATTCTGTTTATTATGATACTTCACGAGAGGGTCTAGGTTGTGTATTGATGCAAGAGGGTAAAGTGGTAGCCTATGGCTCATGACAGTTGAAAATACATGAGAGAAATTATCCCACCCATGACGTAGAGTTAGTAGCAGTGATATTTGCCTTGAAGATTTGAAGGCACTATCTGTATGGTGAGAAATTTGAAATGTTCTCTGATCACAAGAGTCTGAAATATCTGTTTACACAGAAAGACTTGAATTTGAGGCAGAGGAGGTGGATGGAATTCATAGAGGATTATGATTTTGAGTTGCATTATCATCCCGGGAAGGCCAATGTTATGGCCGATGCTTTGAGTAGAAAACCAGTTAGTAGTGTAACTTCTATTGCCATCCGAGAATAGGAAATGTTGGATACTCTTAATGAGTTTGACTTGTAACTGGGCGAGTCTATTGAATTCGTAGCTTTGTTTTCAGTAGTTGCACAACCTACACTTGTGAATTGAGTGTTGGAAGTGCAAAGGGGTGACCTTGAGGTGGAATCCTTCCGAGAGAAGATTTCTAATAGAAAATTAGAAAGAGGTTTGACTGTGTATCCCAACCAAAGTGTGAGATACCGTGACCGTTTATTTGTACCGGAGTCTTGCTAGAGGAAGTACTCCGAGAGTTTCATCATTCCCGCCTTGCGGTGCATCCGGGAGGCACAAAGATGTATCATAATCTTAGTCTCCAGTTTTGGTGGAGAGGTATGAAAAAGGATGTGGATGTGTTTGTATCAAAATGCCTTACTTGTCAACAAGTGAAGGCCGAGCATCAGAGGCCAGCGGGTTTGTTGCAACCCTTGCCTATAGCTAAGTGGAAGTGGGAGCATGTTACGATGGACTTTGTTGTTGGCCTTTCAAGGACTCAACGGGGTAGTGATGCCATCTGTGTGGTCATTGGCCGGTTGACTAAATCGGCGCATTTTATTCCCATGTGCGTAAGTGACTCGGTAGATTATCTTGCCGACTTGTATATTAGGGACGATTGTTTCGGATAGAGATCTGCGTTTCACTGCTCGGTTGTGGCAGAGTTTGCAGAGTGCCTTGGGCACTAGATTGACTTTTAGTACTGCGTATCATCCTCAAACTGACGGGCAGTCCGAGCGTACTATTCAGGTCCTTGAGGATATGCTTCGAGGCTGTGTCCTTGACTTCAAGGGTTCATAGGAGAGGCATTTGCCCTTAGTGGAATTTGCCTATAACAATAGTTTCCAATCGAGTATTGGCATGGCACTGTTTGAAGCCTTGTATGGTCGACCGTGTAGATCCCCCGTGTGTTGGGCCGAGGTGGGTGATGCACCTTTGTTAGGTCTAGAGTTGGTTTGGGAAACTACAGAGAAAGTTGCACTTATACGTAAGAGGCTAGTTACGGCTCAGAGTCGCCAGAAAAGTTATGCCGACCGTAGGAGGAGACCTTTGTCATTTGAGGTAGGTGATCATGCCTTTTTAAAAATATCACCTAGACGGGGTTTGATGAGGTTTGGGAAGAGTGGGAAGTTGTCCCCTTGGTTTATTGGCCCTTTTGAGATCCTCGAACAGATTGGGGAGATTGCTTACCGTTTGGCGTTACCACCACAATTTCCGGAGTTCATGACATGTTTCATATTTGTATGCTTCGAAAATATGAGTCGGATCCCTCGCACGTGTTGGATTGGACCAACTTAGAGGTAGATGAGGATGCCTCGTATGAGGAGAGACCGGTGGAAGTCTTTGATAGACGGGATCAAGTTTTGCGAGGCAAGACAATTCCCTTGGTAAAAGTATTGTGGAAACATCACGGAGTCGAGGAAGCGACTTGGGAACGTGAATTAGAAGTCCGAGAGAAATATCCAGATTTGTTTGTTGATGCATGAGCATGTATTGAGAATTTATTGTATTAATGAAAAGTCTAAGCATTGTATATGTTTTAACTTATGAAAACATTGTATACGTTATGGTTGTTTAGGAAGAACATGGATTCAATATAAACATTGCTTATCTTTTGAGAATTTGGAATATTGATGATGTTGTATCATTTTTGGAAGCATTGTATATGCTATGTACGATTTTTGAAATTTTGGACTTTAGTTAAACATTGTAAATGTTTTGGGAAAATTGAAAATTTCATTTTAAATTTGGGACTTGTGAATCGAGTCGGTGTGAATAGATGACCGGAGAATGGGCCATGGTGTTATACTTGTGGGCATAACATGGTAATGAATAGTTTAATTATGTTTTAGAGCCTGATTCGTAATTTTGGGGACGATCCCGATTTTACCCTGACCTTTATTGTGTTCAAGACTCGGGTTCCATGAGTGTATATTGTTGTCTATGTCTTGTTTCCTCCCTTTAATTCTTTGAATTTGAGTTTTGGGACTTGTTGGGCGAGTTTGGAACAGATTGGTTGTCTTTTGGTACAAATGGTTGTTGCCCAGACTTTGGCTTCTTCGCTTGAGCAAGGCTTCTTGCGCTCGAGCGAACCTTGTGTAATTTGTTCTTCGTTCGAGCGAGGATTTTTGCGCTCGAGCGAGCCCTGTGAAAATGTTTCTTCGCTCGAGCGAGGCTTCTTGCGCTTGAGCGTGCGTCTGCATTGGGTGCCAGACTTGAAGCTTTGCATTCCACACTTGAGCGACACTTCTTGCGCTCGAGCAAGGCGACCTTTTTGTGTCTGGTCACTCGAGTGAGAACTACTTCGCTCGAGCGAGCCTGGTGTACATCAATAAACAGCAGCGCCGTTTTGCTGCATTTTTTATCTCCTTTTTCACTCTCAAACCCTAAATCTGCTGCTTTTCTCTCTAGAAGCCACCTTCTCTCTAAGGTTTCATCTAAATCCATTGTGTTCTTGACCCTAGTGTCTTTGAGAATAAGGTAGAGGGCTTCAAGAGCTTCGTGTTGATCCAAGTAAGAGCTTGTTTCGTCATCTTTGGAGTTTCGATCTTGCTTGTTCGTCTTCTACACTTAAGGTAGGGAATTTCTACACTCTAATATGATTTTTAACTTAGTTATTTACTATTGTGTATAGATGACGAGATTTGGTTGTGGTTTGGACAAATCTAGGATTTGGTTATGAAATAAAAAGAGGGGTTTTGATGAATATGAGGTAAATGAGTATGAGGCTTGAATATATGATCATGTTGTGCCAAAATAGTTGATTTTGGTATTTGGGTTGATATTTGGAAAGAGGGGATTTTGCCCTAATTTTGATTAAATCATTATTTTGCATAAATAATTGGAATTAACATTGAAAATATGAAATTGGAAGGCTGTGGTTATAAATGGTGATATTGGATACGTATTATCTCACCTATGTAAGTTTTGAATAAAATATTTGTTTTGAGATTGAGCATCTCTCTAGAAATAATTGTATTGGGCTATCGGCGGAGGATAGCTATGATTGTTGTAGAAATTGTATGAGGATTAGGCAATTTAATGCTAATCCATTATTGGTGTCATTGAATATGACCATGTTATAAATACATTGTATATGTATGTTTATTGGGAGGAGAAAGGAGATGTACTCCATATATGACTATATTTATAAATACATTGTATATGTATATTTATTGGGAGGAGAAATGAGATGTACTCCATATGTGATTATGTTTATTAATACATTGCATATGTATATTTGTTTGGAAGGAGAAAGGGATGGACTCCATTTAAAGCAAGTTGGCCAGAGTGTCCTGGGTGAAAGACCCGAAATTTCATATAAATATGGGGGACGATTCCTTCAGACGAAATATCCGTATAATGGCAAGTTTGAAGTGTTTATGTGTGTTTTGCATAGTTGGAAAACCATTGTGTTGTAGTCACATTTTGGTTGTTGAAAGATAATGGATTTAACTCATGAATTGAGTAGCATATATGAACTGAAAATAGATTAAAGGAAAATGGATTGAGGTTAGGTCTTAGTGGCATATGAATATGCAGGCTTTGTGAATGTTTTAGTATCGGTATTGTTTATGCATGTAGTATTTATACCTTTGCTAAACCTCATATATTGTGTTAGAATATCTCTTTTGGGCTGTTGGCTCACCCTATACGGGAATATCATTTTTCAAGTGTGGGTGAGATGTTTCCTCCAAGGCAATAGTATGGATAGAATTTTGGAAAGCAAGAGCTTCTTTATTATGTCTTATGTGTGTATGTTTGTTATTTGCAAAGCCAAGGGCTTAACATGTAATGAGCGAGACTCAATTTGTGTAACCAAGCAATGACTTGGAAAGATGTAAGCCTACATGGCATTTAACTGGTTGTTAAACTGTGAACTCTGATATATGAAAGTATGTTGTTTCTCATATTTATTCCGCATATGAGTTATCTTTATTGTATTATTTTGGGGGCGTTACATGGGATCCATCGGAAATTCATGTAGGTATCAATATCAACTCTCTCAAATCTAATGCTACTACAATTTGGTACAACAACATAATATATGGGAAAGATAATGAAGCTTGGATTAGTTATGATTCTAGATCTAAAAATTTGAGTGTTGTTTTCACTGGATATATAAGTAATACCAGAGTTAAAAGTGTCCTTAGTTGGCCAATTGATCTGAGGGACTACTTATCCGAATGGGTTACAATAGGCTTCTCTGCTGCAATAGGAGCTGTTTCTGAGAAACATACTATTAAATTGTGGTCATTCAATTCGAGTTCAAAAATCGATGCACCAACGAGTCCCAGTCCCAATCCCAATCCCAATCCCAATCCCAATCCCATCCCCAGTCCCAATCTCAGTCCAAGTCTAAGCAACAAAAAGCCAGTAGTAGTGGGATTGACTGTAGGATCATTTGGTTTGGTTTGTGGGTTGTCTTTATTTATGTTTGTTTTGTGGATGAAATGGACAAATGAGGAGGTTGCATTTAATATGTCCATAGATAATGACTTCGAGGTAGGTATCGGGCCAAAAAAGTTTTCGCATAGTGAATTGTTTCATGTAACAAATAAATTCGCGGATATAATTGGACAAGGAGGATTTGGTGAGGTTTATAGAGGTTTCTTAAAGGAATCCAAGTCCAATGTTGTTGTGAAGAGGATATTAAAGGGACCAAAACAAGACATAAGAGAGTATGCATCTGAAGTGAAGATCATTAGTCGGTTAAGGCATAGAAATTTGGTGCAACTGCTTGGTTGGTGTCATGAGAAAGGAGAACTCCTACTCGTTTATGACTTGATTGGAAAATGGAAGCTTAGATAACCATCTCTTCAAAGAAAAAAGCTTATTGACATGGGCAATGAGGTACGAAATTGCTCAAGGCTTGGCCTCGGTATTGCTTTATCTACACGAAGAATGGTAGAAGTGTGTGTTGCACAGGGATGTAAAATCAAGTAACGTCATGTTAGATTCAAATTTGAATGCCAAACTTGGAGATTTCGGCTTAGCTAGGCTTGTCGATCACGGAAAAGATTCGAAAACAACAATTTTGGCAGGGACTAGGGGTTACATGGCACCTGAATACTTAGATATACTCAAAGCTAGTAAGGAATCAGATGTTTACAGTTTTGGAATTGTAGTATTGGAGATAGCTTGTGGAAGAGAATCCGTTGATTTTAATGTCCGAGAAAGTCAAATGATATTGGTGCAGTCGATTTTAGTCTTCAAGCTATAGTTAAAGTCAAATGATTGTAATGTCCCAGGAATAAGAGAGCATGCACCTGCAGTCGATTCCCAGCAGAGATGCCTGTGCCAACATATGTTACCCCTTTGGTGAATGCTCCTTCATCTTTGGATTCTTGTACCCATGGCTCTATTACTTTTTCTAATAGCGGTCAATTTTAGTCTTCAAGCTATAGTTACCACAAGGGAGAGGGCTTCAGCTCTGATCCCCTCTTTCCTCATTCTACTCCCATTTTCTTCTTCCTTTTTTTTTTTGCTTTTCTACTTAAATAGCCTTGGAAACTTTGTCTTTCGGACCATCTCCCTCTTTGTGAGGTGTTTCTTCACCGGATTTGCCTTCTCCCTAATTTTCTGCCTCATTCTGGCGCTATCATTACCTCACTGCCACTGGATCTGCCACTACCCTTTAGATATGCCACCTCCAAGGCTCCACGGCCCTACCACCGCTTCTCTACCTCTTCATCTTCACTAGATCTACATTCAGCTGCTGTTTTCACCACCGTCTTTCCATCACTGCCTTTAGGATTGAAGATTTTTCTAATTTTGCTATGAAACAACCCTCATTTCAACTTAGTCATACTTGCATACATTTATGTATGATCTTGTTTTGATATGTGCATTTGCAAATCTTGTCTTGTTTTGCTCGAATGTTGCTTGCATGCTTTGTTCTTGCCCGGTGTGTTGCCGAGGTCATCTTGAGCCTAGACACCTTCGAGACCTTTTCCACTTAGAACTATCTTGGAACCCCTTTGGTTGACCTCCACCTTCACCCTGGCATATTGGCCGAGATGTCACCATCTAGGCCGAGGTGCGCGTCACCTAGGCCGAGATGTGCATCATCTAGGCTGAGATATTAATATCTAGGCGTTCTAGATCCTTGATCCTTGCACTAGCGATTTTGTTCCTGGAATGGTATGACCTAGGCCGAGGTGTGGCACATCTGGGCTAAGGTGTGGCACAGCTTAGTCAAGTGTTGTCCTTCCAAGCCGATGTCCTTGCCACTTGCTTGCCGGAGTCTTGTTGTTAGCCGATGTCGTTACTCGCCGGAGTTCTCTTGCCGTCTAGCTTGTTGAATACACTTTGTCATGGTCTTGTCTTATCAGTCAGTCACCTTTTCGGGTAGAGCCAACCAGCCAATGCCACGTGTCCCAGCAGAGGGATTAAGTCAGTGACTGTCGGGAGAAACAGATCATTTTGTATCAAATCTTGCCTTTTAGAGAGAGAAACTCTAGGAAGAAGAAGGAGAAGTTTTGAGCAAGAGAGAGTGAACTTCCAAGCTTGATCGTTGGAGCTTGAACCGTTAGATTCGAGTTTTGAGGTTAGAGTCTTAACCTACTCTTGTTGTTCTTATTGACCATCTAGCTGCATTGCACGATCGAACCGGTTCTGCACGTCATACATTGATTTAAAGTTGGTTTTAGAAAGAGAAAATGGTTTTCATGTATTCTTGAAGAAAAGCCTCGTTTGATGCGAAAGTTTGCGTTAAGGTTCATGTATTTGTCTTTGTTTTGATAAGATCCTAGAGTATGGGTACCCAGGTCCATGTTTTTGAACTCATAGCATGAAATCTCAGCTTTTGTAATAGCAAGTTATAATCTTTGCATTCATCTTCCTCATATTCATGTTCGTCATGTTCGTCATGTTCCTCAAAAGAGGGAAACCCAGATTTTCCGACTTCATTTCCTTGAATGTGGCCATCGAGGCCACACCTCGGGAAGGAGGTGTGGGACCTCGGCCAAGACCTGGTAGTTACCCAGCATGTTTTCTAGAGATAAGAAATTGTGTTTTGATTTGATTTGACTTAGTTTTTGAAGAATGCCGATGTCATTTGCATGCATGCAAGACTTGTTTTGAGAAGTGCATTCAATAGATTTTGCCATGTGTTTGTAGGACTTGGACTTGCCTTGACCCCGACGTTCCAAGAACTTTGTGAGTGGTATTTTTAATAAAGCATTTTTGATAAAGCTATGTTATTAATGTTTTGATGAGCTTTGCTTTGCTTTGTTTTGAAAAGTATTTGTTAAGCATGAATGATTGTCCTTAGTTTTGTATCTTGTATTATACTTGCTTTGATGACCTCCTTGGAAAGTCCTTAGTGCTAGGGGACTATAATGCAACCGTACATCTTGTTTTGAAAGTCCCTTGTGCTGGAGGACTCTAAACTTTCGAGCACATCTTGTTTTGAAAGTCCCTTGTGCTGGAGGACTCTAAACTTTCACAGTACTCTCGTGTTAATGGGCTACGGGCCTTTGTAACATAGGTCCCTTGTGCTAGAGGATCTAAACTTTTGTAGCACCCTTGTTTGAGATATCTCCCTTGCTTTGTCTTGTTTTGCCGCTGACGGTTTTACCGCGTGGATATGTTTGCTGGAATGTTATCATTTGTAATATGTTGATGCTAGTAAGCACCCCTTGAAGCTTTGAAGATTTGTTAGATGGACGAGGTCCATCCCTTGTTATTAAAGTTTTGACTTGTATTGTTTTGAAAGGACTTTGGCTATTTATCATGCAAACCCTTTATTATTTATATCATTAACTGAGTATCCAAGCTCACCCTCTCTATATATATGTAGGTGATGAGCAGAAGGCAATGACGCCTAGATGTGATTCGTGAGCTTGTTTTGGATTTTGATTATGTCGGCAGTCTTGAAAATCATGCTTCTCGACTTGTAATATTTGTATTTCGTACACGTCGGCTTTAGAAGCCTTTTGATCAGATGTGTGTTTTGTGTGTATGTTATGTGGGCAACGAGGATGTCGGCAATCTGGCAGACTATGTTCCTTGACCTGTAGTTCGTGCATTTTGTTTATGTCGGCTTGTGAAGCCCTTTGTTAAAATGTAATATGTATTTTAACCTTACTTTAATTGTATTCAAGTTGTAAAGCTGTGTAAAGATGTATGCCATTCCATTTGACTTATGCACTGCTCTTATGGACCACTTGTATTTTAAATTATTGCTTCCGCACATGTTAGCCCCATATATTTATACTCTGATTGTGTGTGAATTTTGAAAGTTGGCCTTCGGTAACCTCGGATTACTGGCCATCACGGCACCAAACTACTAGGGGCGGTTTGGGGTCATGACAGAATGGTATTAGAGCACAAGTTCCTTAATACGTTATTTACACACTTTGAGTCCTAAAGAGAATAGTATTTCCCCTTAGAAGGATGTTAGGATTGCATCATATTGCTTGCTATGTGGTCAAGGTGTGCATCATCTCGGCATGCTTAATTGTAACTTGTCTACGTGATTATTTGTTCATTTTGTTTTAAAATCACATTTTGCATACTCATAGCATCATGAGGAGAGTTAGACCTCTAGTTGGCCGGGATCAATCCGAAGACAGATTAGACAGACTGGAGAGGTTAGTTGAAGGTTTGGCCCGCGAGTTAAGGCAGACCAGACAGCAGTACGCTAGTGCTACTTCGACTCAGGCCGAGCAGACAAACGGCCGAAATGTTGTTCACCCCCACCCTCTTCCAGTACCACAAGTGCCCCACAGCCAGCTTTATATGGGGACGACGCGATAGCTTTGATTAGGGAGTTCAAGAAAATGAAGCCACCAAGATTCCAAGGGGGTATAGAGCCGATGAAAGCCGAAGCATGGGTTTTGGAAATGGAAAAGCTGTTCGAGATCTTTCCTAGCACCGACATCCAGAAGGTGACATTAGCAGCTTTTAGACTAGATGACGACACCCGCAGATGGTGGATGATGGTTCGAGAAGGCAATCCAGACTTGACCTGGACCCGATTTTTGGGGTTGTTTTACACCAAGCATTTTCCCTTAAGTGTTCGAAATCGCAAGGCTATCGAATTTCAGACTTTGACGCAAGGCAGTAAAACAGTAGCTGAATATGACCGTGCCTTTACCGAGTTGGCGTGGTATGCACCCCACATGGTCAATGATGAATATATGAAGGCTAGAAAGTTTGAAAGTGGGCTGCGTGGACCGATACAAGACTGAGTTAACATGCTCAACATGCCGACTTATGCCGGAGTATTGGACAAAGCCATTCTGGCCGAAGCTAAACTTGAGCAGATACCAGAGTTCGGGAGAGAGCCAGAGGAAGAGACAGAGTTATGACAATCGCCGAGCACAGTTTGGTGCCAAGAAGAAAGCGAATGTTGGCAGTTTGAGCAACCCAAGACAGGAAAGTGGTACTAAGCCGACATGTTCCAGTTGTGGGAAGCCACATTTCGGGGTCTATCGTCGAGCGTCTGGAGCTTGTTACGAATGTGGGGAAGTAGGTCATTTTGTGAGGGACTGTCCAAAGACAAGGGCTGATGAAGGTAAGAAAGATGAGAATACCCCGGGTTCCGTACAAAAGGTAACGTTGGGAAAGGACAGATGAGGCAAGGCAGAGTTTTTGCACTGGTACCAGGAGGCACTCAGAATGCTGAGACAGTGGTGTCAGGTATACTTCCAATTTGCTCTCAAAATGCATATGTATTGATTAATTCAGGTTCTACGCATTCATTCATTTCTGCTAAGTTTGCCAGAAGATTAATAGGAAACTAGAACCCCTTGATTATGTGTTATCTGTATCTACTCCATCTGGGAGATCTATGAATGTTGCAT